TTCATCAGTCTTTGCTGTGTGCATTTAGAACTTCCCAGCAACACTGCTTGTAAAATGCAGTATCAGCTGAAAGACACACTGGTGCTGTACCAATATATACTGTTTTCTTATGACAATGACAGGTTTACAGCCCAAAATATGCATTATATCAGAAGTAAAGGAATAGCTATGATGTGGCCACAGATCATCAGCTTCCTCTTCACTTAGGCGAAAACCAGCAGTTGGTACTTACTGTTGGTAAACATTTTGTGTAAAACTTTATAGAAAAGTTCATTATTCATCCACCTTAGTTCTCTCCTAGTGACATGGTAATAAAGAACATTTGATTTCAGAGTTTTGTCCAGTGTGATGTAGGTACTGGGGAAGGCTACTGCTAGAACTTGAGGAAGTATTTTTTAACCTTTTTCCGGTATTCTCACAAGTAGAGGCCTGCAATATGACTGTATGCTATGGATTCAAACTTAATGCTACAATTTAAAATAGTTACTTTTTCTTCAACAGATCATCCAAGTGTCTTCACCATGCCTGAAGCAGATATGAAAAGAATTTTGTGGGTGTTATCCCTTCCTATTATTACACTACTCTACTTGACCATACCAGATTGCAGAAGACAGTTTTGGAGGAACTGGTTCATGGTGACATTTTTCATTTCAGCAGCATGGATTTCTGCAATAACTTACGTTCTTGTATGGATGGTAACAATAGCAGGTAGGTATCTAAAGTGCTGCTGCTATACAGAATCAACCAATCGAGAATCACTGAAAAAACAGTCTTCTCCCTGTGAAGAGTTCTCCTTTCCACAATTAACAGTCAGTTTAGCAACACATACTTTGCTGTAAAAAAAAACAACACACAAAAAAAACCCCTTATGTTTGACTGCTTAGTTTGCCACCTTCTTCCATCTAATGAAAACCACTTTAGGGTTTAGCTACTTCAGACTGCTTACCATCACATGAATGAGAATTTGTTTACATAGCTACAAAAAACATCCTATATTTAAAAAGAGACAGTTTCATTAAACTGCTTCATGAAGTGAAACAATTAGATACACAGCAATAAACTTGTCAAGCTGAAGTCTGACAAACATGAAATCCACCAAGACTGGAATTAAAGGTTCAGGGTTCTGTAAAAGATCCATTATTTCTATACCTATATTTTTCTTGAACACTATGTTCAAGTAAAAGATTTGGCATTAAATTAACTGCCAAAAAAACCTCCCAAATTTTTGTATTATTTTATTTCAACTATAGCATCATGTGTTTATTAAACATTCTTGGGGGGGCAGGGGGCATATATGTATACCTCTTACAAATCTGTATCATAAAGTGAAGCAGTAAAAGAACTGTAAGTCAGAGAAGGGGTATGGACTTGGGTGTAAAAACATTCTCTTAATTTTTTTATCTCAAGGTATTAAAGGTCTCCTCATTTCACTGTTTCTCCAATCAGCTTGCAAAAAATCCAGTTTTTAATATTCAGAACAGGCAGAAAACAAATCTCTAAACAAGAAAAATGTTACAAAGTCTGCCATTTCCACATTATAGCTCACTAATCCTACTCAAGTATTCTGCTAGTTCAGCATCCTAAACTTATTTTCAACTTAAGTTCAATGAATAACTCCTTGTTCAGTGCAGAAACAGACCTACACATTTGGTAAACCTTTAAGAAATTACTAGTAGATTGCTGGATATAACACCCACCAGGTTCACTCCTTGGTCAAATAATTTTCCACTTGTATCTAAAGAGCAAGGGTTTACTGTCTGAATGCTAGAAGCCTTTGAAACAGGATTCAAATGCAAGTTACTGCTGTTCTACTAGACAAAGCACGAGTTCATATGAAAGCAGGTACACTGGAGATTCAAATAGTGTATTAGTGTTAGTCCACTTCGAAGAACCATCACAAGCAGTACTGGGGTCTTTGGCCCACTACTTCTAGGTCAAATATGTTCTATTTACATGTTAAAACGCTAAAAATTACACATACATTATATTCAAGTCCAGGTTCTTTCATGAAGGGTGACTGAAAGATTCTATCATTGCATAAACAGCCTATCAGAATGTCACAAGGGTGTCATAACTGGGGATTAAATTTTGATGGTCAAGAACAAACCTAAAGAAAATTTGACTACTTATAGCAAGATATTGCTACTGATACACAAAATTAACTAAAGGTTAGAAAAATAAGACCACTGTCCCTTTATGGTCAGCTGCCAGGAAAAAACCCTACACATTAAATAGAAGATAAATCTATCTAATAAAAAGAAAAATTAAATTCACCTGAGTTTAGATTATATAACTTTCAGAGGGCTAGTAACTACCATAGGGTACATAAGGCTGGTTCATTCATCTCTCACCTTGGTTTGCTCGGCATGAACCATCATTTTTCCAGCCTGGATGGTTTATAAAAGCTGTTCTTGTTGGTCCCTCATCCTACAAATCTCTTACATTACAAGTGATGGAAGAAGAAATACCAGTACAAATTCTGCATGTTAGGATCATGTTAGTCCCTCTGAACTGACAAATAGTTCAGTTCAATAGTTAAACATAAGTTTACTGGGCTGATCTAGACAGCTGGTATGTACTAGGCAATTGCTAACCTAGCTTACAGAGTACTGCCTCTTACTTTAAGAAAACTGTTCTTATTAGTATCCAAATAGTCCAAGTAAGAATTCATATTTCAACAAAAAAATATTAAGATACTTCTCAGTGAAGAAAAAAGTTTAAGAAAAACTAATTACTTAATTATTTGAATAGACGTATCAAATACTTCAGCATATTGACACCTGTGAATGGTACAACTGCTAAAACAGTTTTAAAGATCTGAATCCCTCTATCAATATGCTTACAGGACACGTGGGGCTGAAAAAAAACGTAGGGAAAAATAAGCTGCTGTTTTAATAACAATTTAAAGCTTTTCATAATTTAAACCAGTATTTACCTAAAGAAACTCACACTTCTAAAGGATTACTTGCACTTATAAGTCATATAAAAATTCTGCATTTTGATTCTTCCGAATCCAATGAAAGAACTTTCTAATTGGAGTGAAATGGTAAAGCCATGTAGTAGAGACAGTATTGTAGTAATGATCTTAATGACCCTCCTCCCCAAGAAAATTAATGTGCTTTTTTCTCTCCCCCTTTAAAGAGTGGGTGATTATAAGAGTTATTGCTTCATGAGACTTTTGAGCTCTAATGATGAGATGCCCAAAACCATAGAAGACTACTATATTTTCCAGAAATTGGGGGGCGGGGGGGAAGAGGAGTAAATTGTTAGATATTTAAACTTCTACTGTACCTGAAAAAAAATTCATAATTAGTATTGTCTTGACCATTGGAGACATTCCACTCAGGTCTTTGAGAAACTTTTTAAGATGGTTACTATACTACAATTCCTTTTTTATTTGATTGAAGAGCAAGGACAGGATGGTATTTCTATGTTGTTGTTCTTAACTACTTCATGGTTCAGTCACTTCATATTTAGTCAAGTTAGCTAACAGATTCATTTTGAAATTACTGTATGATTACTAATCCTTTCTCCAGCAAACAAAGTCCAAAGCAATTTCTTTGGATGAAACTTAAACTAAAAACATACTTGCATGTTCTACCATTATTTATCAACTGCAGGTGAAACACTGGGAATTCCAGAGTCAGTAATGGGTCTCACATTACTAGCAGCAGGAACAAGTGTACCAGATACAGTTGCAAGTGTGCTGGTGGCTCGAAAAGGTAAAGATTTTAGTATTCAGGCTCATTCCAATGGATGTGTTTAAAAGGTACTATGAAAAAAAAAAAGAATTCTAGTCAACATTTCCAGAAATTCAAGGAATAACTTCAAAATTTTTGCTCCAGAATCTGGAGCTTAAGTTTACTAATAATAAATAAATAGCTTACCTGAAGAATCTGTGGCTCAGACATTTAAAAACCTCTCAGAGTATCTCAGAGAAGTATTCTAGATTGATTTGTTGTTGATCAAGTGTCACAGTTTTACTGCAAAACACAACTGCAGGTCTTGGTATTTTAGACATGACTGGACTTTATAATAGCCTGTCTAGCTTATTTTAAGTGCAACTGTGCAGATGCTGGTGATTTAGGGAGACTTTTTTTATACTTGTGGTACCCAAAACCATGTTCTGTAGAATCACGACTACAGTTCTTTCAATGAAAAGTCTGAGAAGGGTGCTCTGTGAGAAATTGAGGGCTGACAGTCTGTTCCTCCAAAACAGTTTGGCAATTTCATACAGTACAATTAAGCAGACTAATTTGTATTTCTTCTTTTACAGGAAATGGAGACATGGCTATGTCTAACATTGTAGGATCCAATGTTTTTGATATGCTCTGTTTGGGAATACCCTGGTTTATAAAAACTGCCTTCATAAATACATCAGGACCCATAGAAGTGAACAGCGGTGGTTTGACATACACAGCCATTTCTCTTATCTGTTCTGTTGTTTTTATTTTTCTGGCAGTTCACCTGAATGGCTGGAAAATAGATAAAAAATTGGGAGCAATTTGTCTTGTACTGTACTTAGTATTTGCTATATTATCAATTTTATATGAACTTGGCATCATAGGGAACAATCCTACAAGGGTCTGTGGTAACTAGTTTTAATCATACTGATGAAAAAAATAAAAGCAGGAGGGAAAGATCAGTTTCTTCATTTAGTCAAAATAAAAAAAAAAACCCTCAAAACTCCTATTGGGCTCTAAATCTTATTTATAGAACTAAGTCATGTCATTAAAGTAATATTAAGTAGAACGAAAACATCACAGCCTAATTGGAGCCCTTTCTTTTAGAGTCAAGAATTACAGTATGACTACAATGCACATATAAAACCAAAATTCTGAAAAAAAGACATCTAGTTTTTACATTACAATGCTGATACAGGCGGGGGGCGGGGGGGGGGATTCAAAAAAAAAT